GCTTCATTCCCACAAATATAGGAGGAATTTTTTTACGCTGGTAAATCAGAAAAGTAATTAGTGAAGTATTACGCATACTGCAATTTTATTATTTTTCATAGGTTCATGAATTTGAAAGTTTATCAGTCAGCAAGAAAATCTATACACAATGCAGAGCGTCGTTTGTTTGTTGGAAGTTTTTAAACAAAGAATGAAGAATTAGTTCAACTTCGACAGCTTTACTCTGACTGATAAACTTGTAAATTGATGAAATGGCAAAGTGGTAAGAATGGATTTCTTGAATGATTACCTGGGAATCGAATAGACAACAGAGATGACAATACCACGAATTATTTTTGGACTTTTTTTTATCCCACTGTAAACACTTCAAATATGTCAAGTATAATCGATAGCGTAAGTTGGAAATGGTATGTATCCTCTGGAAATGGACGTTGATTTCAAGTAATCAGAGCACTTCTAAGATTCCGCTCTCCGTTATCGTCTTAACATAAAATGGTGATTCAGCATCTGATTTTATCTTACTTCATAGAAGTGTTTTGCTTGTGTATTCATTTAAAACTCTTAATATTAGAAAAGTAAAGAAAGGGTTAGAGTTCATTCTTGAAATGCTATTAGAAAAAAATAAGAAATACTGAAGATAATCCAAATCTACGAGTATTTAGCTAAAGAAAGATAAAGAAACGTTAAGTAAGCACATCTTTTGCAGAGAGAATAATAATATAAAGCGATTACTTTAACAACAGTTGCAGCAAAGAGAATGCCTCCGTAAAACCAGTTATCTTAGAGAAGTTATATTACTGGTTTGCGCTTTACGGACAATATTTTGCTCAACTTTAATCAAATTAGGTGAAGAGGAGTGTGGAGGAAAGAAATATGTTATGATGATAAAGCTCAACTTGCGCCCGAAGATCTATTAAACCGGAATTTCTCTTCACATTCCTTGTTGAAAGGTATATTATCAAGAAAAAGTGTGGAAGGGAAATACGCTATTACTAATTCTTTTATAACGAAAAACATTATTGTTTCTTACCATTAATGGATACAAACATTTGAATGTTTCTGTTTGAGATTTATCGAATTCAAACTCATCACTATACCAACTTTGGGTCAGTTAATAATATAGAACATGTTAAACCGGAGTTTAGAACAAAAAGGAAAGGTCTAATTTAAATTTGAAACACAAATAAGCTTATTAAAATAAAAGTAGAACTAAAGATTTCAAAATTAATCGTATCATGCATTTAAATGAAAAAAAGTGGCTTATAAAATCAAAGAAATTTTTCATCCATATAAATTGGTAATTATATATTGCTTTATTTTACTTCACGTGAGTTAGGATTATAAAAATTTTAAAATCTTTCGACTGTCAGAAACCAATGTATGGATGGCACAGTGTTGAAATCACGATTTCATTAAACGCTTTTTTACGTCCGCACGCATATCATCTAGCCAAAATGCTGATAGAACTAGAAGTAAGGGATGATTAAGAAGTACTGCAAGTGTTAGCAGTAAAAATAAGTTTTGCTGAAGAGAGGAAGAGGAATGCAATAATGTAAATCTAGTTGAATTCATACGTATAAAGGAAAGTGTGAATGGATGAAGACATGTACAGGTGCCTGTTAGGAGCGTCATTATTATTACTTAATGGGTCATTTAGGGAGGCGCAAATTTTAAAATGAATTAAACTGCTGCTCTCTGATTTGATGGCATACTTTTTCGTAAATCTGTGCCAGTCAGTCGTCCAGCAGTTCATGCTGTCCGCATCGCTGTACCTTTACTCTACACATATGCGTAGTACAATGCTCAGCAGTCATATATTTGTATGCCCTCAATACAAGAGCACATCTATTGCTTTTAACTGTAAATGTCGCAAAACTTTCAACATTTCTAAGTTACATGAAGGATGGACATATTGCCTTCCAAGTAACAAAGTTGATACAGAATTCATAAAGTACCAATCCAAATCACTTTTCTGAAAATGGCATTTGAAAATCTAAAATAGCGATAAGAGGGAAAGGAACAGAGTTGATTTGATTGTGGCATTGTTGTAAATGCATATTGATCATACTGTAGGAAGCATTCTGAAAGACAGCACATCATATATGTTCCTTTTAGCGCACTCAAAACTAATGATAAATATTGTCCGATATGCATGGAACTATTGAATGTCATCCATCGTATCTATCATGTACGATTATTGGCATCATTTAAAACAATCGAATCAAGCTTCTTACACAGAAAAAAAAATTTCGCAGTGTATGCGTTTTTTTTGGATACTTTTAAAAGTAAGAACAACGTGTTAACAGTCTTATTCACGTGTTCACAAACAGACAATGGTTTATTATTAGTAAGTACTCTTCAGTGCTCGTTCTTCTTGGGATTGTATTAGTTAGAATAATAAATCAATTTGGAGCCTTCTAGAAGTGATGGTGAGAGAACCCGGAAAGATGAAGTTGGATCGGTTGTGTTTTAAAGAAGATCTACGATAAGTGAAGAAATTGTGTAATGAAGCACTAACTCTTCGAGCACACATCTCACTGCCATTGACGGTTAATTTCGATTACTAATGGCATGTCATTCCTGTCCATATCATTACAACATTGAATTAGAGATGAATATACAGTGTGCAGCGTGCAGTTGCTTGTCAGATTATTATCTACGATATCATGACATCAACTTTACGCACGATAATTAAATTTCATTAAACGAAATACATCCTATTTATCCTGCTATATATGAAGTGAAAGGGTTAAGCAGTAAGGTAGTAGCACGCCACGCCTGCAAAAAGGTCATGTGGGTTGAATTAAGTTTTTATATTTATCAAGAAGTCAACGTTTCACAACATTTATAAACATCCCTTGCTTGGAGTTACAAAAAGCTCTTCTTGAAAACATTCAATAAGTTTCATTTGTTGGTTGAAAAGTTTGTCGAGTGATGATTGCTCTCATCCTTCTCTTACTAACTGCTGGCTGACTTCTCTAGATAACGATCTCCGGTTTGCGCTCACCGAAATAATTAGAATTTCGGCCAAAAGCATTCTGAACATATGCCACTTTTCGGAGGATTTGACGGTTAAGCTGCGGTTTTAAAATGATTGCCAATAATGACAAAATGTCAAACAATTCACTGAGAAGCTAAAATTCTTGTCTCAAAACGGTTACTGACATGTCTGAAACGGTGCATAATATTCAAATTTCAAATGAAGATGCAAAGATGTTCCATTGGCTCGTTCTAATATTCGAGTTTCAAGCAAAGCTTATCATTTCTAGGCTCTCAAGCTAATGTCATGCAGAGCCTATGGATGAATGAAGGTTGAAGAAAGAAGGCAGAACATTATCATCCATTGGACAGCCACAGCTAAAACTACAGCAGCAGGATTGATGGTATGATGATAGCATCATCAGAGAAGTAATGCTCGTTGTTTTAGCAGCAGTAGCAGAAGTTCGGCGGTGTGATCTTTCAATGCTCTCCCTACATTTCTGGATGAACTGCAACTTAAAATACTGCTCCTATTGCCGCTACTAACTACTACTACTACTACTACTACTACTACTACTACTACTACTACTACTACTACTACTACTACTACTACTACTACTACTACTACTACTACTACTACTACT